CGTCTATAAATTTTTGTCTTTTTTCTAATTTAAATATCATTCGTCTTTATATTTATTTTAATTGAAATATTTATTCTATATATGTTATTTATTTATTTTATGGCTTATGTAATGTTTATAAGTTATGTTTATATTAAGAAAATCACATTTATCAATATGATATTTTTTCTGTCTTTAACTATTTAGATAAAATTTATAATAGAAATAATGTATTTTGTAATATAAAATATATAAATCTCACATATTTTAGTAGAAAATTTTTTTTTCTTTTTCTTAATTAGTCTGTAATATTTGTTTAGAATATATTCTTTATTTTATTTTAATTATTTTTGTTACAAAAATAATACGTAGTTATTTTTGTTTAGAATATATTGGAAATAGTACATAGTTTAGTAGAACGATTTTTGTTTTTTTTTTCTTAATTAGTCAATAATTATTGTTTAGAATTTATTTCTTATTTAAAAAAAAAAATTTTTAATATTGACACATGTCACAATTTAAATTAACAATACACATGTCACGATCTAGTGCTTAAGAATTTTATTTATGTATCAAGCTCTCATCGCGTGCATTCTCCTTCATATAATAAGATATATATATTAATAGAGAGCATTAAAAAAATTATTTTTCACAAAATTGTTGACTAGTTGATGCATAAGCCTGTAAGTAGATATTGAGTTATATATATGGAAAATATTTTTTTTGCTGTTTATTAAAAAAGAGATATAATTTATTTTTCTAAATAAAATTCAAATTTTAAAATAAAAAAGCTCCAATACAATTTATATCATGTAAACCTTAATTAGTTAGTACTATATAATATTAATTAATCCATTTAAAAAATGAGATCAAATTCTTACAAAAAAAAAAATCTAATGATAATAGTTGATTGGAAAATCTTACATTTAATATCTAATATAATATTGTAAGGTTTCTTCAAAACCAAAGTTATGAGAGATTGCCATGTGTCATCTAATTTTTTGACTTTTAGTTTTTAAATTTATTTGTTAAAAGAATGAAAAATGAAATGTCTTTTAATAACTTTATCAATTAGTTCTAACAATTTAATATTTAATTCTTATGTAAATTAATTCCAACAAATTATATTTAAGTGTCATATGCACATTTATGTAATTCT